ATAAGAAAACTTTAAAAATCGTTGGGAGTTGCCGTGGTCAGTGGGCGGAGCCGTGGCTTCGCTGCGAGCGGGTCACGCTTTCCTTACGTATTTTTGAGCTGCGAAAGTACTAAATCTTCCGTGCTTGCGGACAGCACCACATTATCCAAAGAAGACGTTGCGCATCAAATAAACACATGGCGTGCCCCTAAGCAAAAGATTGGTATCATTCTCAACCACTAAAGAGCAAGAAGTAACGCAATGTCCAACTAATCTGCTTTGGTTCCAAAAGAAACATACTGATTTCCAAACAAAAGTCGTCTTCTATCCGCGTGACCGCTGTTTCAAGTTTGTAAGAAATTCGCTACGGTATTCCCCCTAAGCTGAGCAAGATGTAAGCGGGATCCACTCATTGCTCTAGGCAGTAGGTTTCTATTTTGAAGATATAGCTGCCATAGGTACAGCCGTTATCCCAGCGAACGAGAGGGCGTGTGAGAGGCGTGGACTGAGCTGCTTTAGCTGCGCTCGCACACTCGTGCCCTCTAGGTTGCAGGGATAATGATCTCGTTCACGGAATGACATTCACACGGATGAAGAAAACTTACACTGGCTCCGTTTGCTGACAGAAGCTTCTTGAGCGCAATCAAACTTTCCATGAATTCGGAATCTGTTGTGCATAAGTGAAACTCCTCAATCACCAGGAATTTGACCCATTTTAGCGGCAGCTGTGATAGATATATTGAAACCTCTTGAGATGAACAAAATCAAATGGCTTTTCCAAGGTACTCCTTTTGATATGGTCACCTAAACGAGAAGGCGGGGCGCTCGTAACCTTGGAGGGGGTGGGGCACACCCGTGGTCTTTTGCAGTGTGTTTCTTAGTATTTTCACAGCCGTGTCGCAATCAGCAGCCCTGCGAGTTTTGCCAAGCACCCTGTAAACTCTTGTCTCTTGTTTCTCATTTTTTTTCTTCTCCATCGACCAGTAATTTTGGCAGGTTTTACGGGGTTCACAAGGTGTTTGACAAGTAATAACAAGTCTGATGGGGTGTAGACAAAGTTGTCCGGTATTCACATGTGTGCAGTTTACAGAATTTGGTATGCTAACAGGCGCTCAATGCCCCCTCCTTTTAAGTTATTACGCCAAGAAAGGTCTGGAAATCGTATGAATGAGTTCGGTAATGTCTTAATACTTTTTAGACCAAATTCAAAAAAGGAACTGAACTAACATGATGTTTATGAATAGCGTCAACCATAACTGGCGCGGACGCACAAATAAGATCAGCAACTAAGTTTGAGTGGTATGACGATTTATCCAGTTCTCCTCTAGTTGTGAAATATTTCACGAGTGACGTACCTTAAACATCTCCATAACATTTCTCCTCGACTGGATTAGTAAACTTTCAGGTAACGCCTAAACACTAGTAAAGCGTAATGTGGTAATCATATCTCACTTTAGGGCTTTGCTGCCTGACAGCTTGATATCATAGTTTACCTTCCCTCGCACTAAGTGAGTACGTGCAGTGCATACTATACTGTACATACGGTGCAGTACACACAAAAGCACAGTTCCTCTTGGGGAGGGGGGCATTTTGGACTTTTCCTACTTACCATCGTCGTGTCTTGCAATCAAGTAAAGATCTGTAAAAACCGGTGAAGCCATAAGTAGCACCACTTAAAGTTTGTACAGATCACTTCACAACTCTTGTAAAGAGCACCTTTCAACTTTTGTAAATATACGACGACGGAAAGTATCGAAAAGGCTAAGTTCCCCCTCCACACTCCAAACTGAACAGCGCCCACACAAGCGTTTTGGATTGGAAAGGTGTTTAGGTAAGTGAACCTCGTGAAAGCATTAGGCTGCGTTCATACTTTGCGACGAATATATAGGGTTTTAAGACGCTGCGAGTGCGCTCCCAAAACGGCTCTGCCGATTCTCCTTTCGTCTGACCTTCGAACACCAAGTAGACCATATTTTACATGGACACGCATACGCCCAGAGTCGAATCGCCGATTTTCCTATCGCGAAGTATGAACGGTGTATCGAAAAGGGTAACAATACACGAGATAGGGACTTGTAAACCTTAACAAGAAAAAAAGCGAGAAAATCACCTCGAGAATATCTGTTGTAAAGTTCTCTTATATGCTTAATCTTGTTTTCCGTGTGTGTAACAATGAGAGCTGCTGGTCCTTTTCGTCCACGTATCTGGAAAAAATAATTTTTTTTCAGTAAATTTGCGAGAACTGGATAGAATTTTGCATCTCTTTAGAACAAATCTCACCTCGATCTCTTTCAATTCCACCAGCTTGTTCACTAAAGGGAGTAAATACCCGCTTGTTTTGCCTGCACCCATAGAACCCATTGCCAGAAATGTGAACTCTGAAGTGGAACTACTGTCATGCCAAACTGGAGCAAAAGATGAATAAAACGGGTGTGTGACAAAACAATCTTAATATGCCCCGTTGGTGGGCGTGGCGAAGGACGCCGCGCGCCAGACTTGTCGTCACACTGCCGATTGAATTTCGATACTAACTGAACGGGAAAATCCGATATAGCCCGTTATGAAGCCTTGCTTTCGCTCGAATTAATATGATTTTCGCAGCCCAAATCGACAATCTGGGGCAAGGAGAATTTTTAGCGCATCGCTCCACGATAGCCGCGCGTGATGACGCGACAACCTACGATTTGTCCGTCACCGAAAGGAAAGAAAAACGGAAAGGAAGTTATGACACCTTTGTAACGAACCATTAAGAACTAAAGGAACCATGTACTGCTGAATCCGCCGAAGTGTATAAATGCAGTGTCTCGGATCTGACGTCAAATTTCTTGCCACATTGTCTTGTAGGAAGTTGAGGTCACTACAAATAGAAGGAATATACGCCCAAACTTCAGAGTGAGTGGTCTGAGTACCAAACAGTTCTTCTTGATTACCTTGCGGTCGAAATTTAGGAGGTAGGTCTTTACAACGAACATCCAGAGGTTCACCAGATTGCGTTTCATCTTCAGAATCGCTTTCGTGCATCATCTTATGACGTGCTAGAAAAAAGGGCTACTGTCAGAAAATTCAAAAAAGGCCAAGCTTTCGGATCTGAAGAGCGAATTCACTTCTACGGCTCTTGGTAGAGACGGGGTCTAAAATGGAGCAAGTTCGTACTTCGCCAGAGTCAAGCGATCGCACTGCGAAGTATGAACGCGCTCTAATGCGAGTGAAGTTCAAAGCTCGTTCTTGGTGATGCGCAACTTGAGGTGATGATCCAGTGCTTGAGACCACTAAAATAGGCCCGCGTTCATACTTTGGCGACTGCGGGCAGTAGGAAAATACGTCAAACAGGCGACATCCCCTCTCAAAATTCCGCGCTGAGAGGGATTTGAATCTGCGACTGTACCAATAGCAGAATCGGCTATTTGTTTTGAGAGAATGTGCACCAAAGAAGTTGATGGTAAGGCCACGTTCATACTTTGCGACACAGGAGAATCGACGGCTTGAGAGTATCGATCGGCGCCGATTGCCAGCGATTGCGGGAACTCGGTGATCCGGCGTTTTGGGGGACTGAGCGATCCAGCGTACTCACTTGTCGCATAATCGCCGGGAACGCTGAGTCCTTAAATGGTCGCATCGCTCAGTATCTGAAAAGAGCCCACTGCTGAATATCTGCAATCGCTAGCGATCGGCGCCTAATACCCATCCGATCTTTTGGACGGCAATTGCCTGAAACATCGAGTCCCAAAACGCCATCGCCGAAACCGCAACAAATGACTATACTTTCATCGTCGCGCAAATCTCATGAATCGCCTAATCTCCCGCACTGCAGACTATGAAGCGGCCTAATCGATCCATTCCGGTCGGTAGCGACTTCGTGGAACCTTGACGTTCTGAGAGAACGCCCTCAAGCTAGCGGAGTCGATCAATCCCCATCTGCTCCTTTTGCGCGCATTCGTCGAGTCCCTGAACTCTTGTTCTCCAGAGTCGCAGAGTATGAACGCGGTCTTACGAAGAACTCGTAAGAGCTCTGATCAAATGTAGGAATCGAAGCTGTGGACGTCTTCAATAATTTTTTTGTGAAGACTTCACCTTGACGTTCGGCAAAGTAATCCCACTCATTGGAAGCCTGTTCCTAAAGAGATTCATAATCAATTTCCTGATTTATTTCGAATTCAAACACATTGAACTTACCTCATTGAAGGCGTAACCGCTAGAAGATGCCTCATCACTGGAGTCGCTGTCGAAGTCGAACTTGTACTTGCCTAAATGCGAATGATCGCGAGTAGAAATTGAAGAAAACATTTTGGACCAGGAATCCAGGACTACGATAAGAGACTAAAAAGATAAAGATTCACAGCCATAGCAAGTTTACAGTGCAATCCTCACATGGGCTCACCTTTTCAGGGTCTACGGACAACTTGAACTCAATCCCTTTGAACGCGTCGATCTTCTCTTTTTCTCTGCACTCTCTCGTCCGCATGGCACTCTATGGCCGTTGTGACTTCGCTCACTCCAGCTTTTCACCGACTATAAGTAGCTCACCCACCCCGGAGTCCCCTCCCCTTGAAAAATCCCGTTTCCTGGCTCGCCATACGTTTTTTGCACGTTTCGATGCTTTGGCAGCCGCTGCCCTTCATCCGTCTGCGTCACAGTTTCGTAACAGGACATGCACAAAAGTTCAAGATGTCACGTAACCCCTTTTCAGTCACGCGACAACTAGGAGTTCTAGTGCGGGTCCTGGCGCGAAAGGCTAGAGTGCAGAGAACAGAGTGCGACTGCCAAGGCATAAAAAAACATGGAGCGAGCCAGGAGATGAGCTTTTTTGGGGAGGGGGACTCCGAGGTGAGAAGCTACTTATTATGCATGAAAAGTTGGGGTATGTGTAAGGTCACCATGGTCACAGAGTGCCATGCAGACGAGAGAGCGTAGAGAACAACAGAAAGTGGACGCGATTAAAGGGACTTGGTGCAAGCTGTCCGCACATATGTCTGCATACGACGCACGATTATTGATCAGCGTGCACCAACTCGCGCCATACTAATCAAGTAATGCTTTCAAAAATATGTATTACACGGCCAGTTACACCACTTTGACTCAATTTTTATGACTAGTTCAATCTTCCTCTAGCCCCTAACCATTTGAAAATTATGACTTTTCAGAAGTATCCCAAATGTCAAAAGTCATCAACAGATTTTAAACTTCGTTATCACAAAATGTCCCCAAAATCCCCTCCAAACTCACAGCTTAATTTTCGGGTTAAAAAGTAGGCATCTTTCATATGATCCACTAAATCGAAATGAATGCCAAAATGCTTAACTTCAGTACCTGATATAGGATCCTGAAGACTCATATCTATCATTCGGGAACGAAGTCAAGCTGAACAACTTCGAGGGGCGTGCTTCGCGTTGTCGCAATACGCCGCGCGCGGATTTCTGTACAATGGATGCGATGCCGCGGACTCCGCGGCGCGATGGTTTCATGAGAGCGTAAATTCTTGCGCATTTTCGTGCCCCATTTTCAAATATTGTTTTCCGTAATACTTTTCGTGAGAATGCTCTCACAGCCCGTGATATTTTGGAGCACTTTTCCCGCTCTACAGCTCTGCCCCCACCAACCAACTACTGATTTCGACCAAGTGCTACTCTTCTGAAGGGGTTCTCCCAACGATGCTGTACCCTGCCCCTGCCCCTCCACCACGTCCCCCTCCTTCATTGGAACAGTGCCCTAACTGTT